TTAAGCAGCTCCATCCTGTCTGGTTGGAGGCCTCGTAAAAGCCTCTGGATTAAGGAGGTTTATCTTTCTGTAGGTGGCAGGAGATAAGAAATGGCTCGATCCTTCTATGGAAGCCCCAAGCATGCTCACAGACTCAACAGAATATTACTCTCCAGAAGCCCTGGCATGTCTTCGACCCCACAGGGGAGGGCTGCAGAGGCCTCTGATCCCAAATTTACAGTGACGCCCCATACCTGACATTTAGAGAGCCTGGCTTTGCAGTCACCAGGATGGCGAGAGTGCAGTATTTCTGAACCCACTTGGTACCCGGGAAAACAGCACCTTAATGGCCTTGTACGTTATCATATATTCCGACTTAAAACACTCTTCAATAAAAATATCTTTAATTAGCTGGCACACAGTCAGTCTTTCATTTCAACAAGAGCAATTAGGGCAGGAGTGAGGATTCTAATCCACTCCTGGGACTGGAGCCAGAGCCCCATCAGCCTGGCTCCAAACGCAAGAGAATGCTCTGGGGCTGAAAGGCAGCTAAGGATCCAGGCTTTCAAGACCATAAAACCTGATGCCAAACACCCCACTTACGGTGTTATTCTGCACAGATTGCTTCACTCCTCCATGCCTCCGTGGATTCTTCCACAACATGGAGATAACAATATCTTTTTTGTAGGAAGTAAAGGTGACATGCGATCAAGAACCTGGCATAGGGTATGTACCAGAAATGACAGACAGGGACTTTACCCTTCAGGGTAGAGTAGGAAAAACCTACCACTCCAAGGACTGGGTCCTTGAGAGAGAAAAGGTCATGATCCAGCAAGGCACAAAAGGTCAGTAGGGAAGAGGCCATCTGATGTCTGTTGAGGATTCTTGTCCCCAAATCCTACCTGTAAAGGCCACTGCTACCTCTTTGGGCAGAGGAATTAGGAAACTGAGTCACATTTTCCACCCTGAAGACTTGTTCTCTCCAGATTAATAAACACCCCCTGAATCTTTCAGGCTTGTCTCACATGCCAGAATGTGGCAGGCCACAGGGCTCAGGTGAAGGAAAGGCTGTCCCTCTCCATCCTCCCAACCCCATCCCCAGGACAAGGAGAGGTTGGTCTCTAGAGCCCTCATTAGCTACTGCCAAGCCTGAGTTTCCACCCCGTGGAGTTTGGTGGAGTCTTCTCCTCAAGGTGACGACCACCAGCCCTTCCCTAGCAGGTGGCCCCTAGTGGGGCCAGATGTTACTATGGGAGGCAGAGTTTTTATACATTTACAGGTTTTAAAAGACCAGGCTCTTGGGTGATAAAAGTTTTACAGACCAGTAAAAATTTATTGCAGAAGATGAAGGCACAGCTGTCCTGGGAAAGACAGGAGCCTGGAATCTGTGGGCTCCTGGTTCCATCTACATGAGCTGTGGGCATTGAGGCAAGTCATGGAGGTCCTCTGGGCAGTGTGTTTTCATTTGAAAAATGGGAGCAAGACAGGTCAGGGCCCTGACGCTATGTGGCAACATCTTAGGCGGGTGGAAGCTTCAGGCATCATCATGACCAAAGCCTGGGGTGCTGGGAACAGCTGGACAGCAAGGGAAGACCCAGGCCTGGGAGGACTGCAGTCTGGGGGCTTTTCATTACCCATGCTGGATGGCTGCCATCTGCGTGTCTGCCTCCACTCCTTGGGAGGAGCCTGGCCGTCTGCAGGCAGAGCTGGGGAATCGAATTAGCCAGGCCTCTGCTTTCTCCTCATCCCCACTGGCCATCGAGAGTTCATCAAGGCCTTGCGCTAATTCTTATCTTGTTTAAAAGGGGCAAAAGTGACTCTACAGTTTCATCCAGGGCAATTTACACCCTGCCACTGGCCAGGGCTCCAACTGGCCCCCACCCTCCCCATCTGTTGTGCCATCAAATCCATTAATAGGAAATTTCTTCGGGGGAAACTTGATTGCTGTTCCATCAGCAAGGGCTCACAGGCAATACATCTCCATCCGAGGCCATGGCCTGGCTGGCCGGCTCTAATCCTGTTACCTAAGAAGCTAATTTTCTAATGCACGCACTGTGCAGAACACATCCTCTCTCTTCCCTAATCCAATTGGGCAGTCCCAGAGGATTCCAGGAGCTCAATGCAGAAGGGACTGGGGCCCTGGCATGGGGTCTCTGGGCTTGCTTCCCCACCTGCACGTGTCTCAGCACAAGCCCACAGCTGGGGCCCCAGCCCCAGCACAGAGGCCCGGCTTCCCTGGTGGGGGAGGGCCTCCACACTCAGAACACCCAGCCCCTGGCCCCCCCGCCAGCACTTTTTGCCACTCTTCCCCTTCTCTCCTCCCCTTCTTTCCTCCCCTTCTTCGAGCTTCCAGTTCCTTCTCAACTTCTTACCACTTTTTCCTTCTCTCATATTTTTTATTCCTTTTTATCTTTTGTATTTCCACCTTCTTTCCAGATTCCCTGCCCCCACTTTTTAAAAAGAGTTGTTTATTTATGCATACAGAGCTGGGGTATAAACCAGAGGTGCAGGGGTGGTGAGAGGCTTCACCAGAGACAGACTGGGGGGTAGGACAGGGAGATGGATGAAGTACACTGCTGAAGGGAGCAGTGGGCGGGTCAGGAGAGGTCTGCTGGGCCCTGGGGGTCACCTCTGGGACTGGGGGTAGAACTTGCACTGAAGCAGCTGCAGCCAGCTTGCAGTGCTGCATCCTAGCCCACTGCACCACCAGGAAGGGCCCCTTCCCCTCTTTTATAATTTAAAGATTTTATTTATTTATGCATACAGAACTGGGGTACAGGTCAGAGGTGCAGGCACAGTAAGAGGATTCACCAGATACAGAGTGGGGAGAAGAATAGGCAAATCATTGAAGTACACTGCTGAGGGGAGCAGCCGACCAGTCAGGAGAGGGCTGCTGCACCATGGGGGTCAGCTCCCCAGCGGGGGATCGAACTCACACTGAAGCAGCTGCAGCCAGCTTCGCAGTGCTGTGCTCCAACCTGCTGCACCACCAGGGAGGGCCCAGGTACCCTCCCCTTTCCTCCACTTTGCCTTCTGCTTCTTCTCATTCGCCTCTTGCCCTTTCCCTCCTGCTCAGGTACTGCCCTTTTGGCAATGGGTTCAGAGCCCAAAGTTTCCTTCTGGCTCTCTGTTTCCACCTTGCATGGCTCTGTGGGAGGAGCAGGTTCCACTTGACTTGGAACAAGCGATGGGAATGTCCCGTGTGGATACCCACAGAGCCCCGAAGAGCACAAAATGGAACAAAAGAGGGTGGCTAGGGTACTGGGGAAGCAGGTGTGTGTTCTTCAGTGACGAAACAACTATACTGGAAGCCGCAGTGGGTGTGTTTCTGGCCTGGCAGCTGCACGGACTCCCTCTGGGAACGGGAGGATGCCCTCTGCAGACTTGGTCATGCACAGAGACGGGGAGACAGTCTCCGAGAAACTGCAGCAGACTTCTACATTGTAATGACCATAAAGGCGGGTGAGCACGAGCCTAAGCGTCCTTGTTTATCTCTCCAGGTGTCTGCTGGGTTGTAGAATGCACTTGGGATCCCAGTTGCCCTCCTCAGTGTGAGCCCTTGTGGCGTCAGCCTGGAGCCCAGCGGCAGCCTGGTGCTTCTCACTCTGCCTTGTCCTGCTGTCCAGTCTGCGGTTTGAGTACGTTCATTCTATGGGGTCTGGCTCTTCCAATTCCCTAGAAGTGGAGGACCCCCCCCGCCTAGTTTTTTTCCTGTTTTACCACTTGTCCTCTTTTCTGTACCTCCAAAACGCATCTTTGGAGCGGACTTTCCTTGTTTTCCCTTGTGTACAGATAAAACCCATCCATGGCTTTCGAGAAGGGTCACCTACCTCCTTGAGCTTAACAGAACATTCCAGGACCACACCTTAGCCACAGGAAGAGGCTCCAGTACTGACAGGCATAACCATAGGCGGCTTGCACCACACTCATGAACAAAGAGGGAAAATCCCAACAGAATGACAAGAGGACACACCCCTGACCTAAGCAGGGAGTTTTGTTTAACTTAGCTCCGATCTGCAATTCTTCCTCCCCACAGTATTCTCAGCCCACCAAGCTTCAATTCAATTGGCAAAGGGATTAAAAGGAATAAAAAGACTTTGTGGTTGAATATGCCATGATGGATAGAGGTGTGTCTGCCTTTAACAGAGGTTGAAAGGCCGCATCAGCTCAGAGGTTGAGGTGAGGGTGGGGGTCCTTCAAGTAGAAACTCCCTGCAGTTCTTCTTCCCCAGGTGATGTTTGTGACAGAGTTGGCACCCGAGGGATAGTCACTGCCTGTTTAACTTGCAAGAAAAACAGAAGCACTTCTTTCAAGAAAACCACATTTAAAAGGAAAACGCAGAGGATGCTTAAGAAATTATATAAGCAAAAAATAGGGGTGGGATAGAAAATTATATGTATGGTGTACTTACTTCATTGTAGACAGGAAATTGTAAACAACTATACAACCCGCAATATTGACAGTGGCTGCCTCCGGGAGTGAGTAAGCCTGTGGGTGATTTCAGTTTTCCTGCAGTAAGCATGTATTTCTATTTTACATTTACTACACGTTTACTATGTAGAGTAAAAACATACATATTCATGTATAGTATAAATCACACAGGTACCTATATTAACATTTAAATATGAAGATTTAGACAGGTCAAAGGGGACCCCCTTGCTCTGCCAAGATGCCCTTGTCACCTTCTGCAGCCAGGAGCCCTCCTGCTCCTCTCCCCTGGCTCTACCCTGCCTCAGGCCAGGGCTAAGGAAGTGCGTGCAGTGTCGGGACAAAGCGAAGGCAGCAGCCTGGCGCTCCTCCTTCACACAGGCTGTTTCTTTCCTCTACAGGTCCCTCTTTGGGGAACTCAGCCATGCCCCTGCAGAAGGGGTGAGCAGAGGGGTGAGCTGAGCTGGGGTACCTTGCCTCAGTGAGCAGCCTCCCTTCTCACTCTTCCAGCCTCTGCCTCTCCCCTCCATCCCTGAAACCTGATCCAGCTGAAGGACTGATTTGCAGGAAAACTTGGCAGCTGCCCAGTTCTGGTGGCTGGGGCAGTGTGAGGCTTGCATGCCCAGAAAGTGCAGGGAGCAGGCGAGAGGCAGGCTGGCTGGACATGAGGCTGGCCGCATGTGGGCAGGCTGGCCCTCGGCTGGGCTCACCCTGAACGGCCACTGCGCAGCCCCCACCGTGGGTAGCCCACCATGCGGCTGTGGGGCCTGCAGGCGCTGCTGCCTCTGCTTCTGCCCACACTCCTGACACAAGGAGAAGGTAAGGGGTCGGTGGGAGAACACGCGGGACTCAGTTGCCCTCTCCAGAGGTGGGGGTGGGCTGGGGAGAATAACCAGCCCCTCCAAGGGCTGAAGGAAGAAGGGCTGCAGCAGCAGCCACAAAGTCAGCTGTCCTGAGAGCTGTGTGCAGGCGGCATGTCGCGACAGGGTGATTGAGCTAGAAAGTTGGGGAAGCTGAGCACCAGGGGAGCCGGCTTGCTGGAGCCCCTGAGAGCAGCCTGCCGCGGGGGACTGGCCGTGTAGCAGGTGCAGGACAGGGCTCTTCTCTGCCCTGCCCCGACTCACCAAGGAGGCAGCTTCAAGGGAACTGCAGCTCGTGCTTCACCCCTTCTCGGTGGGATGTTGGCAGAGTTGTTCCCTCGAAGCCACACGGCTTGTTAGCAGCGGAGTAGAAGCCAGAACCGGTACAGTCATCTTCCCTCACCTCACTGCGTTTGTTGTCTGGGCTCTCTCTGGGCCTACATTTTTTTAAATATCTTTTGCAGAACTAAACTCCAGAAACACCAACTTTTCTGCATCCCCCAGGGAGGCCCCTTTCCTGCCTCCCTTAGGGGCAGAGTGTCACTAACGGGTCTATTTCTTTTTGCTGCAAACAATCTAATCTCCATTTTAGCAGTTGTTCTCCCTATCAGCAGTTGTTCTCCCTACCCACAGCTTGGGTAAAGTTGGCTGGGGCACAATTAGGGTACCTTGTGCAGGGTGGGCAGATATGAAGGGCTTATGGGATCTGTCTCCCCGTGAGCTGTCATTTGGAGATGTTCAGTGGGACCTGCAGGCCCGGGTCCGGAGCTCTTTGGCCCTCACAGTAAGGCCCTTTGCTCTGAGACCTACGGGGCCCAGTCTGGTTCTGTCCACACTGGTCAGAGTCACAGATAATATTTCTGGAATGTTGCTGGGGTGATCTGTGTTTGAATCTTGGTTCCTTCACTTGCAGGACATCGTAACCCCCATTTTGAGCCTTGAGGATCCTTCTCTGCTAAGTGGGTTGTCACGACAGCCATTCCAGGTGGAGAGTGGTGCTAAGATTGAGTGAACAATATTTTCACTAATATCATGCCAAAGGGGACACTCAGTCCATGGTCTCTTGCCTTCCCTCTCTATTTTCCTCTGTCTCTCTGGAAGAAGTTGAAAGTTAATGCAGGGACAGGTGGGTGAGAGGCAGGATGGGAATCTGTAGGGCTGACGGCTGTGCAGGTTGTACTCGAGACAGGCTAGGAGAAGAGGCAGAAGAGGCAGGTGGCCAGCCTGTGGGCACCTGTGTGTAAAAGCCCAGCCTCACCCTGCCAGCCCCGTCACGGCCTTGCAGCCCTGTCCTGGCCCTCGAGGGTGCTCCCAGCTCCCCACCCCCATATCCTCATGTCTCTTGGCACCTTTCAAGAAGTGCTTCTGCTATTTTCCAGAGGGAAAACTGAGACGCATGTGAAATCCCCACAAACGGGGCTGGGCCTAGGAGCTGGGTTTTCTCATCATACTTTTTACCCTGTAGGCTTCCTGCCTGCGACCATTTGGTTTTTCCTGGCTTCCTTCAGACTTTCTCTCAGCCCTCTTCCTTTTTCATCACAGTGGCCCATATATCAACCCTATGAAGGAGATTTAGCACCCCAGCAGCGTCTATGGAGGAAGGGAAGGAGAGAGGGGGTTTCCGTGGGGTAGATTTTAAAGGAGGAAAAGGAATGTCAATTTTCACTCAATGCCCCATTCTCCTTTTTTTTTTTTTCCTTTTTGCCAGTTGCAGGCTGGGGTCAAAGACAGGTCTATGCAGACCTTAAGATTTGACCTTGGAAGCAAACTCTCATGCAGGTTTCCAGAATCACTTTCCAGGATCACATACTGAGGGCAGCTTCCCTTTAGCTCCCCACAGTGCTACCTCTGGGAAGGCATCTTTTCTTAACCTTGGCTCCTTCGGCCCTCACCTGTCTTGTGTCACCTGCTGTCACAATCCTGCTCCCTCTCATGTAAGAGTATGTGAGATGATACCTTGGACATGAGGCAGCAATCTCTGCAGATACAATGCTCCAGTGACGTGAATTTCAATCTGTGGGAATATTGGGAAATTTTGTGAGGTGGGAATGATGGAGGCACGTTTCTTTCTTTCTTTCTCTATTTGAAGTCTTTTTTTTTCCCATCATTTTTCATTTTGTTCATTTTCATCTCAGTTGTAATCCCCATGGGCTTCCGACTACCAGTTCACCTGTGTGCCATCACCACAGTTCAGTGCAATCTTCCCACCCCAATTAGGATCCCATTCCCCCTCCAACCCCCATAAAGTGTCTCTGGTTTGTAGTTGTTCATTATTTTCATTTTTGCTCTATTACATTTGTTTCTTTCCACCCACCCACCCCCACCCCCGATCCTTTATGCTCCTGCTATGAGTGAAACGATTGGTATTTTTCTTTTCCTTTCTGACTTATTTCACTAAGCATGATCCCTTCCAGCTCCATCCATATTGCTGCAAAAAGTGTGAGTTTATCTTTTTGATCACTGAGTAATATTCCATTGTGAGGCACATTTTTTTCTAATAATATAATAGTTTATTTTTACATCATTTTGTGCCTTTTTCCATCTCAGTTGTAATCCCCATGGGCTTCCCATCACCAAATCACCTGTGTGCCATTACCACAGTCCAGTGCATTTCCCTTCCCCACCCCCCACATTTCTGATCCCATTCTCCACTCCACCCGCATAAAATGTCTCTGGTTCATTATTATGTTCATTATTATGCTCCCCCCCACCACACCCCCCGGTCCTTATACTCCTGCTATGAGTGAAACCATCTGGTATTTTTTCTTTTTCTGTCTGGTTATCTCACTAAGCATGATCCCTTCCACCTCCACCCATGTTGCTGCAAAAGGCATGTGTTTATCTTTCTTGATTGCTGAGTAATATTCCATTGTGTATATGTACCACATTTTTTAAATATAATAGTTTATTTTTGCATCATTTTGTACATTTTTTTTTTCATCTCAATTTGTACCACATCTTTTTAATCCAGTCATCTACTTTTGGGTATTTGGGTTGATTTCATGAGACACATTTCTTTTAATAGCTTTCAAACCAGGACAAGAGAAGCAGGGGAACCCTAAGCCCCTGATGTTGGCTTTGAACTGTGCTCCTTCCCAGCCAGGGGAAGGAGGGACCTCCAGCCTGGCAATGCCGCCAGGCCTGCTATGCGGAAGCTGTATGACTACCTCCTGTCTGACTACAAGAAAGGAGTGCGGCCCGTGCGTGATTGGAGGAAGCCGACCACTGTCTCCATTGATGTCATCATGTATGCCATCCTCAGCGTGGTGAGCACCCCGATCTCCCCCTAGGCAGGAGTGGGCCTGTGGGGGCAGGACACCACGTAGGACCACACCATCCCTGTGCAGCACGTGGTTCTTCAAGTACCCAATGCAGCTGTGGCCAGGCACACAGCTCAGGACAGACTAATGCTCCTCTTTCTGCACAGCTGCCCACACCAAGAATCTGGGGTCTCTGTGTGGCTGCCTTGTCTACCTCCACAGTCCATGGCTCTTCATACAGCGTCCTAGTAACAGATCCTTATAAGCTGCCCCGGGTTCAACTCCCTATTCCTCTATGGCCTGGTGCCCTGCACAGGTCTCTGGATATGTGGGTGTCACTCGTGGTTATTGAAGAATTGCCAATATGGTAACGGATTGCTTCTCTGCATCCACTCCTGTAGGAGGGTGGGGTGTGCTGTACAGAGATGAATGAGGGGGCTTGTGCAGACATGCAGACATGAGGGCACTGTGCGGGGTGGGGGGAGAGATGAACTTCATAGTGTTCCCTTCCCTTTGATGCAGCATGAAATCTCTGGGTTTTAGAACATTTCTGGAAGGAAACCTCATAACTAGGGTTGTTTCAGGAAAAGAAATTGAGAATTGGAAAGGGTTGGGGAAGAGATAGGCATTTTTTTAAAGATTTATTTTATTTATTTATGCATATATGAGCTGGGGTGTAAGCCAGAGGTGCAGGGTGAGAGGATTCACCAAAGACAGAGTGGAGAGCAGAACAGGCAGATCTACTGAAATCCACTGCTGAGGGGAGCAGCAGACAAGACAGGGGCACCACCAGGGAGGCCCCAAAAGTGATAGGCTTTAGGCTTTTCATGCTTTGTTTTGTACCTCTTCATACTAAGGCCGAAGAGAAGGGATGGGGGTGGGGGAGAAAGAGTGTGTTGGTTGGGAGAAAGAGCATGTTGGTTGGATGGATGCTTTCTATCACTACCTTCCATTATGTTATATATATTATATCTGCAAAATATATATAAAATAGTAGATATGTATAATGTATAACAATACTACATAGAATTATATGTACCTTGTATTAGTTCTATAGAAACAATAGTCTGTTGTTTCTGACATCTATACTCCCTTATGTTAGAAGCTATCAAAGAGATCATTGCATTTTTTTCTAAGATGTGTCCTGCTGAAAAATTGCTTCTCATGTTGGGCCAAAGAACCACCCTTGTCCACTTCTTCTTGCCCCTTCACTCACACTTGACAAGAAAAGGGGGACACAAAGACAAGCTCTCTCTGGGAGGGTGCATGCAGGCTGGTCCTCAGGCCGCAGGGCCGCCTCATGCCCAGCGGCCTTTCCTTTCCAGGATGAGAAGAATCAGGTCCTGACCACCTACATCTGGTACCGGCAGGTGAGTAGCCTGGTCCCTGCTCCACCCGCATTTCCTGGATGGGGCCCTCCTGGAAGGAGCTCCATCTGAGGAGTCGGGAACCTCAGAGGTCTTGGTAAAGTTGGGGCCCAGAGGCACAGCCCGGAGACACAGGGTCTGGACCCCACTCATGCCAGGGCTGGGCCTGAGGGAGGGAGCAGAAAGGCCACTGGAGGGAAGACCCTCTCAGCCCCTCAGGGCTTGGAAGTTCTTCCAGCATCTCAAGCAAGTGTCACCCCTGCTGGCCTAACACCTCCCGCACCTGGGACCTTGCAAGGCTGCCACTTCACTTTCAAATAGCGCTGATTTCTAGAAAATTCTCCTTTTAATTCTGTAAAACTGAATGACGACCAAATCAGGTGATTGAAACTGGATGAGTACTTGCACTTAGGCCTCACACCCTTGGCCATCACCCCACTCTTCGTGTCTCTGGCGGGCAGTGGCCAGGCTCAGCTGTGTTGAGGCTCTGGAACCATGGCAGCATTGTCCGGCTTGGAGCAAATGGTAGAGGCTGCTGCCTACAGGGTGCCCTGCTCTGGAGCTGTGGGGAAGCCATCAGAGCAGGGGGTGATTAAAAGCAGATGAAGAGAGGCACAGAAGGATGGACTGGTTCATAGAGGTCAAGCAGGAGAGAGGCTCTGAGAACATACCTGGCACATGTGGACCCGCTCCCCCGACACCGGCACTCTCTCCTCCAGCACCAGCTCATGGGACAGCAAGGGGTGGAGGATTCCTGATAAACTGCTCTCTTTCTGCCTCAGGGGGATCCCTTGATGCAGAGCACACCTTCCCTCAGGGAAGGGACCCAAACACGAATGAAGAGCCTGGCACACCCTGCCCGGGGTGTCTGGCCTAGGTCCTACCTAGGGGCCTCTAGCTCACCCATCTGCCCCAGCAGTGAGGGGATGCCAGCCTGCTATGTGCCAGTGACTGTGCTGAGGGGCAGGAATCTATGATGCAAACGGGGTAGAGGCCCCGCCCACGATGAGCTCAGACAATTAAATCAACAGAACAGTCCAGCCCAGGAGTCAAGGACAGGCTGCCAACCGTGGCACCAGAGGGGCATATACAAGCCAGCCAGGAGAGTGGGGGTCACAGGAGGTTCCTGGAGAACAGAACAGATGATGTCTGGTTAAGTCTAGAAGGATGACTTGCCTTCCAAGGAGTGATTTCAGTGGGAAGGCGGCAAGGCGGGTATACAGAAACATGCGCCCATGTGGCAGGAGTTAGACAACCCCTAAAACAAACAAAAATCCTATGAAGTTTCGAGACATAAGTGGAGGCCTGATTTTGGCTGGCTTGGAGGTTTAACTTGATCCTGAGGGCCATGGGTCACCTCAAAGAATTTGAAGCCAGGAAGTAACCAATCAAATGTACAGTTTAGATCAGTCAGGATAGTGGAGAAGGCGTTGAACAAAATTAACAAAACCATCCTACCCTGTGAAGTGGTTGCTATTACCCCCATCTACGCATGTCCAGACCAAGCTCCAGGAAGGGCCGTATCTAGGAGCCCTCAGGGCGAATAGGGAGTTCACAGCATCAGCAGCCACCCATGCCTTCCCCAGGGGAGGCTGAGTCTGCCTGGGTCTCATTCACATGCAGGGACTGTATGAGTGCCGAATAGGGGGGTTCTCAGGCACTGCTAGGTGGTTGGGTTGCCACTGACACCCAGGTTCTCCCAAGAAGTACCCACCTGTTGCCCACCTGCTGTGGGCCATGACGGGGTGAAGTTGGCCTGAGCTGCCGATACCCCACCCCGGAGGCCGGGGCTGCGATGACAGGTCCCGCTTCTCCGCAGTTCTGGACAGATGAGTTTCTCCAGTGGAACCCCGAGGACTTCGACAACATCACCAAGTTGTCCATCCCCACGGACAGCATCTGGGTCCCGGACATTCTCATCAATGAGTTGTGAGTACTGGCGCCAACCTTGGGCTCTGGTGCTGAGGAGCTGGGGAAGGCCGGGGGGAGACAATTACCACCACTGCAGCTGCCCGGCCCACCCAGAGCGACAGAGCTGTAGGTAGTGCTGAGTTGGACCCCAACTCCTTCGTTCATTTTTCTGGCCCCCTCCCCTCCTTCTCCTCTTCTCTGCCCTCCTCTCCTTTTCTTTCTTTCTTTTTTTTTTTTTTTAAACTCCTCTTCTCTATGCCTGATGTTGAGACTGTGTGCCTCAACATACAAGGGCCCCATCTAGGCAAAAGGAAGCCAGTGAATGAATCCACACAGACTTGCCACAGCTTAACGAGGGACAGTTGCATTTTAAAGGGCCTAGAAATATTAGCGACGGAACGACCCGTCTGCAGCCTTGGCTCCTGTCAGACACAGTGTTGGTTAGCCTCAGCCAACATCCTTTATCCCTGCCCTTCAGCCTTAGGCTCCGGCCTGTGTATCTTATCAAGAGCAGAGATGATGGCAGGTTAGGGGAGTGATGACTCTCTTGGGGGAGACAGAGGGAGGGAGACTGGGGGAGGCAGCTGCCTGTTTTCCAGGACCCACTGCATCGCCAGCTTCAGGCGGTGCCACTCGCATGCTTTCAGTGACACAGTTGACCTGGAGTCCCCAACCCTGGGTAGCCTGGTGGAGGGATGTGGGGAAACCCCGGGTTTTGGCTGAATCTCCAGTGGAAATAGTGCCTAGCTGTAGTCTTTGCCTTGCCTACCCACCTCCCCACCTGACTCCCCAGGAGCCGTGGGCTCAGGGCGCTTCCTGAATCTCCTGCGCGCCACTGTCCACCGGGGCTGGGAGCAGCTGAGCGCGGACCATGCTGTCTTGAAGTCCTTTCCTGGCTGCTCTGACTCTTCTCAATGGTGTCTCAAATCCCTTTTCCTCTAAGTAATCGTTCTCCTTCTAGAGCAGAGAAGCCAAGAAAAGGCCGAGTCAGAATGGAGCGCAAGGCCCTGCTCTGCCACCGAATCTGCCCACGACCACTGGGCTGGCGACCCTGGGCACTGAGTGCTGCCTGTTCCTTGGCTTTGGGCCTCTGCATGTCTTGCCTGCCTTTTGTGGCTAGGCTGCCAGGGCAATAGGGAGACAAGCCCTTTACTGCCAGGAAAGCGGCCTTGGCAAGGCCGGGCAAAGAAACCCAAGCTAGGCGAGAAGACCAGAACTCTGGTCAGGAAGAAGCGTCAGGCCGTCCTGCCACCTACACTCACCCTGAGTCTCCTTCCTACTGGGGTGCTCAGAAGCCTTGGGCCTGCTTCTGGGGCCCCTAACCCGACCCCTCCTCCCTGCCCAGCGTGGACGTGGGGAAGTCTCCTGAGATCCCGTACGTGTATGTTCAGCAGCACGGCAAGGTCCAGAACTACAAGCCCCTCCAGGTGGTGACCGCCTGTAGCCTCGACATTTACAACTTCCCCTTCGATGTGCAGAACTGCTCCCTGACCTTCACCAGCTGGCTGCACACCAGTGAGTACACGGGCTTCCGCAGGTGGGCGTGACGTGGGGCTCACCAAGGCTGAGAGAGGCTCACCGCAAGGTGCAGGGTGCAGTCTCCCGTACCCAACTTACTTACATTCATGTCTTCATGTTGCTGAGCCTCTGTTTCCTCCCCAAAGGGACTGACATTGCTGCCCTTGTCTCTTCCTCCCTCAGTTGTCGTAAAGTTTGAACGGGACAGTTCAGTGGACTAAGATTCTCAGTCAGGGACAGTTCTTCCCAATGTTACAGACAGGGCCTGGCACCAAAAGCGCCAGTCCACCCACTTCTCTTCATGGACACACCCTCCCCCAGGCCACGCCACCCCCCAGCTCTTGCCCTGGTTTCCTCAGTAGCCCCCCGGGCTGGCCCTTCCCCTTCCCATCTTGCTGGCCTCCAAGTCAGCCTCCAGTTCATTCAGCCTCCAGTTCGTGTTCTCAGAGGAGCCTGGCTGATCTTATTAAAATGCAAATCTGATCTGTCACTCATGGCTGAAACCCTCGGCTGAAAGCCTCAGTGGCTTCCTAGCAGTCCTGAGACACCTGAGAGCCTGTATCTGGCCCTGCACCCTGAAAAGGCAGGTCCTGGGCACCACCTGCCCCTCCAGCTCCTGTCACACAGCTCCCTGAGATCTGCCCCAGCTGGGCTGCCTTCCTCCCTGGGCCCTGAAGCCTCTTGTTCTTTCCCTTCATCACACACTGCTTCCTCCCCTCCATCCATCACCTCGCCCTTTCCTATCCCAACCACCCCGACCTAGGCCAGCTCCTTCAGTGACCTCAAATCAGCATGAGTCCTCAGAAACAACCCCAGGTACCTGAGATTGAGCATCTCCATCCACGTTTCATGGCATCTTTTTCTTCTCCCCACTTCTACTGCACTTCTAAGAGCTTGTCTATGTCATCTTCTCTACTAGAACACACTTGGAGAGGACAGTGGCCATTTCTGGATGGCCGCCTGGGACTCATCAAGATGTTTGGTGCAGAGCAAGGTCCTGCACAGACTTCTGTGAGGGAGGAGTGTTCGCTAGTGACCAAAAGGCATCAGTTCTGGTTTTATTGCATTAGACTTACATTACAAAGGTGATACATAACTTCCTTTAACAAGAAAACATAACTTAAAATAATCTGTGACCTTTGACCACCACCCACAATCCCAAACTCGTCAGCAACAACGTCCTACACTAAACACCTAACAACCCTTATTAGCATAAGCTTCATATAGTATACTCTTCCAGATCTTTCTTTGCAGATGTATGGCTACGAGGTGCTTTTTACTCAGCAGCAGGTCTTAGACATTTTTCCAAGTTGATACATCTTTAGATCTTACTCCAAACTTTCAACTGCTACAAAATATCTCGAGATTGGGTGCATCATAGTTTATTAAGCATTTTCCTGATAGATGGACATTTAGACCTTTTCATATTTTTTTCTTTAGTGGATCCTTCAGTCCTTTTGGTGTGTGCATATGTCTGTTTAATCACTATTAATACAGAGAAGTAAAACTGCGTATGTGAAGATTGTGCTTATTTTCCTAATGCACCTTTGGACATAAGCAGTTCTATCAAGGCAAAGATAAGAATGTTGACTTTTGCTTATTTCCTAAATAGGTTATTCAAACTCTTCTAACCTAGAAAGGTGTCTGAAAGGTGTGTGTGTGTGTGTGTGTGTGTGTGTGAGAGAGACAGAGAGAGAGAGAGAGAGAGAGAGAGAGAGAGGAAAGAGAGAGACTTTCTAGCCTGGTTATTTGCATTTTGCTGTGTGTTTCCACCTAAGCCTTCATCTCCAGCCCTAAAGTCCCACAGAGAGAAACAATGTGCAAACTTTAGGCTTCAGCCAAAGAGCCAAGCCTTCAGCTGAGCTATTGGGGTGCTGCCCACCCCATACCCTGTCATCCCTGTGCCTGGCACCCCCTGGCACTAGACTCCGCAGCCAGTTTGATTTCTTTTCTCTCAGTCCAGGACATCAATATCTCCCTGTGGCGTTTGCCAGAAAAGGTGAAGTCCGACAAGAGCGTCTTCATGAACCAGGGCGAGTGGGAGCTTCTGGCGGTCCTGGCCCAGTACCGAGAGTTCAGTATGGAAAGCAGTGACTCTTATGCCGAAATGAAGTTCTATGTGAGTGGGACCCCGAGGGGATGTGGGTGCAGTGATGAATCACACCCAGCTAGACCCGAAGGGGCACGCTGGCAAGTGCCGTGGAGCCCTCTCCCTAACTCCGGGGTCCACGCCTCCCCTAGAACTTCAGTGAGGAGCCTGAGGAAACTCCCCGGACTTGTCCCTTACTCGGCCTGGGCAGCTGGGGTCAGAGGCAGAGGAGGTGTCTGTCCGTTTCCTCCTCTGAGCCATCCAGGCTGAGATTCAAGGCAGGAGCGGGCCTGGCTGGTCGCGGCTGGGGCAGGGCCCGTGTGCCTGGGCCTCCACCCCAGCTCCTGCCTTGGCCCCAGGTGGTCATCCGCCGGCGGCCTCTATTCTATGCCGTCAGCCTGCTGCTGCCCAGCATCTTTCTCATGGTCATGGACATCGTGGGCTTCTACCTGCCGCCAGACAGCGGTGAGAGGGTTTCCTTCAAGATCACACTCCTCCTGGGCTACTCGGTGTTCCTGATCATCGTGTCCGACACGCTGCCGGCCACCGCGATTGGCACCCCTCTCATTGGTAAGGGCCACTCCCGGGGAAGAGCCCGGCGTGGCGGAGGAGCCAAAGGCCCTCTCCCACGGCCTGCGTGTGTCCCCCCACCTCCACGCCCGCCCGGGTGCACAGGTGTCTACTTTGTGGTGTGCATGGCTCTGCTGGTGCTGAGCTTGGCCGAGACCATCCTCATTGTGCGGCTAGTGCACAAGCAAGACCTGCAGCAGCCCGTGCCTGCCTGGCTGCGGCGCCTGGTCCTCGAGAGAATCGCCCTGCTGCTGTGCCTGGGGGAGCAGCCCCCCGCCCGGAGGTCCCCGGCCACCCCGCAAGCTGCCAAGACGGATGACTGCCCAGGTGAGAAAGGGCAGGGGCACATCCTGTGCCGAGGGCTCCTTCTGGCCTGCACGCCAGGATGGGAGGTGGCAGGGAGGCCTGGCGGGCGCCGCATGCCAGAGCGCCTGTTGGCAGGGCTGAGCGCCGCCCCTCACGGGGCCCAGGCAGGCCCCACCTGCACATCTTCTCCACAGGCAGGCATGGACAGAGAGGGGGTAGCATCCCAGAAGCTGAGCCTCTGGGCTAAAAGTAGCCTTTCTCTGAGGCGGGGCCAGAGTGGGTCAGACGGACGCCCCTCAGGCAGGTGTGGGACGCTGGTGAGTGATGACAGCCAGGCTCTCTAGCTCTCATTCCGATCACGGACCAGGCCCCTTACAATTGCAGACACCCGAGAGGCAGACAGACAGGAGACAGTGTTCAGACCATCCCTGGGCCTCCCTCTCTTGCCAATGCTCCCCACTCCTTCTAGGCACGGGGAACCACTGCAGCCATTTGGGGGGAACCCGGGACTTTGAGAAGACCCTGAGGGGGCGAGGCAGCCCTCCCCCTCCCCCTCGGGAGGCCTCCCTGGCAGTGAGGGGGCTGCTGCAGGAGCTTTCGTCCATCCGGCACTACCTGGAGAAGCGGGAGGAGAGCCGCGAGGTGGCCCGGGACTGGCTGCAGGTGGGCGCTGTCCTTGACAGGCTGCTCTTCTGCATCTACCTGCTGGCCGTGCTGGCCTACAGCGTCACCCTGGTCACGCTCTGGTCCGTCTGGCAGTATTCCTGAGTGGGCACAACTGGGGTGGGGGTTGCCAGTCAGGGTGGGGGTGGGGGGGTGTCTGCCTCAGGGCCCAGGAATGCCAGAGGGTTCTCAAGACACGTGTGTTGTTCTCGCCTGGTTTTCAATGCCAATTCAGCTCTAACCCCAAGCCAGGGCCTTAGCTCTTCCTCCCAACACTTAGTGTGAAAGACCCTTACACGCTCCTCCCTTCCCCCTCCTCTGCTTGCTTATTGTGGCTTTAAAACCAGTATAAATCGGATTGGTGGAAAAGAATGCACCCTCCAACTGCTATCTGTGTGTCAAGCCTCAGTTGCCCGTTTGCACTTTCCCAGCTAAGGCACTGTGGAATTCTGGCCACTCCCTCCACCTTGTTTTGATTTTACTTTTGTGAGTTTATCTTTACTACTTTTTTATTGAAGTAACACTGGCTTACAATGCTGTACATGTCTGGGGCATGGGTCTGCACATCTTCAGATGTGCATCACTGCATCATATGCATCATACCCACCACCAATGTACCCATAATCCTTCACCAATGTACCCATAATCCTTCACCAGTGTCCACTGGGACCCTTCTCCTTTTTTTTATTTTAAGTTTTTTTTTAAGATTTATTTATTCATACAGAGCTGGGGTACAGGCCAGATGCACAGGGATAGTGAGAGGCTTTGCCAGAGAAAGAGTGGAGAACAGAACAGACAGACTGACAAAGTACACTGCTGAGGGGGGCAGCAGGCTGCAGGCTGCACCATGTGGGTCACCTCCAGGACCGGGGGTTGAACTCACACTGAAGCAGCTGCGCCCAGTTTGCAGTGCTGTGCCCTAACCCGTTGCACCACCAGGGAGGCCTCCTCCCTTTTGCTTCCCCTCCCAACCCTCCCCTTATGGGGACCTCAGTTCTGCACTCAGACTCCAAGGCTATGTTTTGGTTTGGTTTTGTCTGTCCTTTGCTTTGCTTCTTTATATTTCACACATGCATGAAATCATCAGTCCTTGTCATTCTCCTTTCGGCTTATTTTATTCAGCATCCCCTCTATGGAATCCCCTCTATTCCATTCATACTGTCACCAATGATAAGCTTTGATCTTTTTCTCTACAGCTGAGTAATATTCCATTGTGTATAAATGCCACATCTTCTTTTATCCACTCATCTGCCATTAGGAATTTTCAACCTTGTTTACAGACTGAAGGCAAAACCACCTGTCTTCTACAAAGACCAAACAATGCTGCTTTAGATTTTAATCCTAATGTCTCCTTCTTCATTTTACCTGTGGCTACTTTCCCTGAACTCTCCTGTTTGATCAGATGATGGGGGTGGGCTGGCCTGGGCTAGGTGGGGTAATAAATTTTGATGACTCTAGATTCACTTCTTGTCCATTATCGGCAGCTGAGTGGGTGGAGGAAGAGGTTTAAAATTATTGGTGGAGAGGAGGTTTGGGGATTTTTAGTGGTTTCAGCTACTTGGTGTTTCCTTGCATCATGAAATAGGAGGTAGCTGTTAGGAAGTAGAAAACAGGAAGTGGGGTGCAAGATGTGGGGGTCAGGACAATGAAAGCAGGGAGGGGTAAGTCAGTTCTTTGGTCACTGGAGAGACACTAGACAGGTCCACACAGCCCTGCCATCACATGGGCTCACCGTCTCTCAGTGAAGGTGGGAGTCGCATTCCCTGCACGAGGATCCACGAGCAGGGACAACATCAGCACCTTGGCCAGCACCGCTGGTCTGATGTTGAGGGACAGAGAAAGCCCAAGGCTTGAGTTTCCCTCTCAGCTTTAGGAACTCTGGGCAGCTGCCCCTGACGTATCCACCAGAAAGCAGGGCCATGAGAGTCAGGTCTGCTCCTTGATCTGACTTTGTATGTCCTGGCCTTTCTCCTGAGCATGCAGGTTTAAGACGCGCTGAGGGTCACCCCAACTATCACTTCATCCTCCCAACAAGCATTCAGGAAGGGCTAGAAGGATGTTTTAAGAGTGACCTTAGAGTCACCATTTGCCTGAAACTTTCCCTTTCTCATTCTAGCCTTCTCCTTCCCATGGTCTTGGGGACCCTGTCACTCACAGGAAAACATGGTGGACAGGAACAGAACACATCCACGCTATAGGGAATGGGCCCAAAAGGAGTATCTGGGGTGCATGGCTTCAGCCTGGCCAGTTGTAAGGGTCTCCATCTGGAACATCTGAAGCTATACTTTCCCTTGACCCCAAATTTCACAATTCTGCCATCCCAGGAGGCTAGATGGAGGCAGAACCTTAGGCCCTTGGGAGACTTGTGTCTGAAAGGGCCTTCAGGCCGAGGAAGAACACTTGCCCAGTTTAGTTTCTCTCAGTTTCTCACCCAGTATTTAGCAAGAATTCATCAGTAACAGGCTGCTTGTTCCTAAGGTAAACTGAGAATGAGCTTTCATCTGCCTCTTCCACCACAGATGTGTGTGCTTTTATGATTAATTAGGGTCTTCCTGTTTATCTATGCTTTCTTGATAGCAAATACTAGGGTCTCCAAGCAAAAGGCAGATGATTGTAGGACTGGGCATTGCCCACACCCGTGGCCTCCTACTGAGCAGAAAGTGGGCTATAGATGGGTAGGCTCACCCCAAGTCTCCCAGGATGTTCCTGGAAGCCCTGACTTGAAGCCAGGTCTTGGAACCAAAAGTTGCCCCAGTTTTGGTCTGCTGGGGCCAGGCTGCTCGATGATTCTCAAGCCTCAGACCAGAGAGAGGGAGAGGTGGGCAGCTTGGCACTGTCAATGAACCACTGGTCAGCAAGTGGGTGGCTATTGACTAAGTGTCCAACCGGAGAGCTAGTAGGACACGCATCAACCTATTGATTCCCCATCACCCCCTCTCCAGCCTTCACCCACAATCAATGGAGTAGCAGGGCCCAGCATTGAGGAGGCCAATTAACCACCTCAAGCCTTCACGTGTAACATCTTCCGCTCCACTAACCACAGCCAATCAACTCATCGATCCAGCAACCGAGCTATGCTGCTCAGGATGGGAAACTGAGGCCCAGGGCCAGAGACCTCCCGCAGTGTGCTAACCTTGTCCATCAATACTGATGTTGACCTCCCAAGGAGACCTTCACCCATCTGGCATAGAACACCCAGCGTTTCCCTGCACCCTGTTATATCTCTAGAGTCTGCTTCCTCTGTCCCCTGCCCCTGCAGCTCACTCTCTAAGGAGAGAGAGGAAACTAGAAGCCACCATGTCTTCTAAGCTTCAGAGGTGCTAACGGCTTCTCTGGTTGCTCCACTCCTCTTCCACAGCTTGCCTGTTCCCCTGCAAATATCTCCACTTCTCAACTCTTTCTTTCCAAATCTGTCATTTACATGCAAAAAAAAAAATTCTAGGACTTCAAAGTGCCCTACCTGAACACCTCCTGCACTCTGTAAGGCTCTAAGCTGAGGAGACCTCGCGGGGGGGGGGGGGGAGAGGGCTGCAACCTGGGCTCAACAGCCTGGCAGCTATGGGCACCCCAGGACTCCACTCTCAGGAGAATCTGGGAGAGCTGCTGAGCTCACAGTCAGGACCTGGATTTAGTGGAGAGTTCCCTGAGTACGCAGGAGGGGAGATGCTGCCTGGGGGTGGGGGCAAGAGGTGCGGCTGGCACTGGCGAGCCAGTTTGTCCCTCCCGTGCCTCCCCCCCCCCCCCGCCTAAAAATCAATACAGTTTGAATCTAATCTAATAACAGAGATTTAACGAGGGGATAATGCTCGTGGAGCGGCCAGGCGCTTTGTCTTCCCTTTCAGGCGGCAGCTGGGGCCCATTATCGGGACAATGCCCCATGCTAATCATTCCCTCTTTCCTCTGAATGTTGGGGAGGGGTGGTGGGCAAGAGAGGGCAGCTCCTCCCCTGATTGGAGGGGAGTGGAAGGGTGGAAGAGGGGGGAAGAAGTCGAGAACCTAGGCAACTGTCTCCACCTGACACCCACTTATTGGCTCCCCCGACATGCACTGTGCCCCCTGACCAGGCATTGGAGACCCTAACACCGCACACAAACAGCAATAATTAGCCTTCAGCTGCAGGACCGGTGGCTGAGAGTCGGGTGGGTTTTGTTGGTTTTTTTCCCTTTCTTTTCTCTAACTTGGCCCTCTATAATTTAAACTCGCCCATGAAAGCCTGTGATTGGCCAGCCCTGACTGTCATGTTCAGAGAATTAAACCCTGGTTTTAGAGACAAGAAAACCCCCCTCTGAAGCAGAAACCTATTCCAATCCACTCGCTCTTCGATCCAGGACGCTGTGAATGAGCTTCTCCTGCAGGAGGAGGGAGAGAGGTCAGACTGCAGGAAGACCTTCCCGGGAACCGAATTCCCAACATGACTTAGACTGTGAATCTGAAGGGAAGGATTCCACCTCATTTCCCAGATGCCTTTAAAGGGAGAAGGGGGGGGGCGACCTGCCTTGATTTTCATGACCAGAACAGAGTCGGGTGGGGGCAGGGGTGACCCAGAGCTAGAACATGCAAAACTTGGCCACTCCTATCCCTGGGGACAATATAGGAGTGGAGTGCCATGCAGCGTGCCTCACACCCCAAATTTCAGTGTTATCCCCACCACATGCTAGCTGTGACATCTTGCACACATATTTAATTCCTCTGACCCTCAATCTTATCGACTGAATAAATGAGAATCTCACTAGCACCTGGCTTAGAGGTGCGGGGCACCCGCTCCCAGTATGGACGAAGCCCAGGGATGTCGCAGCCACAGAGCCGGGACATCAGCCCCTCAGTCTGCACATTCAGAGCTGTTCCCCAAGTCAGGGACAGGCAGCGTGAAGCTGTCATCAGGCCAGCGGGGGCTGACGTTCCTGTCCCCTCCAGGCTGGACCCAGACCTCCGCGTCCCCCTCTCCCACTATGACGCCCTCCTTGCCGTGCACATCCCAGCTCCTTCGCAGAGTTCTTTCCTGTGTGGACACGGGACACAGCTTGGTCAGACTCTTCCGGTGCTTGCTGGTCTTTCCTATTTAATTTCGCCTCCTGTGTCCCCATGTGCCAAGGGAAGTCAACTCTTAGGGACCTAGCATGAGT